TTTAAAAAAAAACTATGAACAAATTCCTATGCACACTGCACGTATCTTATTTTGAAGTGAAAAACAAAACGGGGCAAAAACACCCAGCGGCCTGGATAAATGTCCTCGGTGGGCCGCATGTGGCCCGCGGGCCGCAGTTTGAGGACCCCTGCAGCTGATGCCCATGAAGGCAGTGGAGGCTACAGGGGCACAGTTACGAAAACTTCTTGCTCACAAGCAAACCCCTTGAGGGAAGGAGTCAGTGGGCCAAGGGGGGGTTAAGACTGTCCTCTCAGGGGACATCAAGGAGCCTGGAGCAACAGCCCCAAAGAAGATGCCCTATCACACTTTGGTGAGTGGCGGACGGGAGACCAACTAAAGAAGAGCAGAGAAGGGGAAAGAGTCACAGGAACAATTAGTTCGACACACGAACAGACCAGGGAACCCTCAGCCTCTAGGACCCTGAGCCAGATGGCGCCTGGCCCTCCGGACTGGGCGAGCGTTTCACCCGAGAAGGCCCTGGATGGAATGGGAGAAACAAACCTCAAAATCACAGAGAAGACCAGGCTCGCTGGTCAGACCGAGATGGTCGGGACCCCAAGACTATCGGCCCTCAGCCCCTCTCAAGCCCGGAGCAGAACCCGGGGCGATACAACCGCACTCAACAGGACAATCAATCATTCAAGATGCAAAGGGCACCTCTGCCCAAGGGCAAAGTTCAGAAGCAGGAAGGGGGAGGAATGGAAATAAGAAATGCAGGGTAGAAATGAGATACAGGACTTTGGGCGGCGCCATCAACCGCATAAAACAAAATGTGTATGAATCATTAACAAAAAACTGATTTGTCATGTAGACTTCACCCGAACCAAAGTGAAAAATAAATGAAACAGGAACTCTCTATTCCTGTGGTATAGCTCCATCTGCCAGTGCCGTCTGTGCTGCGCAAGGTGTGCTTGGGTCAGCCTCGTGATAGGCACGGGCGCGCGATCTTCAAGGCTGCGGCCGCTCGGCGGAGCCAGGCTCCTCAGCAGTCTGCCAGTTACACACCAGCACAGTGACCTAACTCTGCTACGTTTCCACCATGCAGAGATCTGCTATGAGCTGAAGGGGCGTTTCCTTGGGGCCGAGGCCTGCATCCGATGGAGCTCTTCATGCACACGACACAAAAGAGACTGCACAGGAAAAGGATGGAGAAATATTCTTGCTACACTCTCATGACAGTGTGAGAGTCAGCAAAACGAAGGAAGTCTTAGACAGACATCCGTCCGACAATCCACTGCGCGCAGGCCTTCTCTGAAGGAAGATTAGCATGCACACTCTGGCCAGAGGCGGCAGGATGTAAGACGGGGGCTTCAGGAGGCCTTGGTGAGAGGACAGCCCCGTTTAGAGGCGCTGTTCTCAGGGCAAAGGCGGAGAGGCCCACGTCCATGATGGCGGTGCAGGAGTGGGTCAGCCCTGAGGAAGAGAGGGCTGAGAGGAAGGGGCTTTGCGCAGCCGGCAGAGGGGGAGAGGACAGGAAAGCATAGTGCTTCCGGAAGGTCACTGGGGTGACTGAGGGGGGGGGGATCCCAGGGGCAGGGCTACAAAGGTTTCTCCCTCCCCTACTGCCTAGGGAAGGGAGCGCATGCCTGTGTGGCGGGGTGGTGGGGGGTGGTGGTGGTGAAGCAGGGAGTGCAGGGTGCAACGCTTAGAAAGAGTCCAGTGATTCAAAACTCATGTGGAACGAGGCTGCCAGCAAACTCAGGAATAACGTCTCCCTCACAAGCAAGAGGAGACACCTTGCCACGAGCCCAGCTTTCTCTAGTGACTTGGTAAGTGGCAGGTCCAACAGCACTCCCCCTAGGACCCAGTGGCCGCATCAGTTTGGTGACAACATCCCCTCATGTTGACTGTTGAGGACAGCACTCACCTGCACATGCTCCGGTAATGTGGATTAAAAACGACTCTGGTGAGAATCTATTTTAGTCGCTATGTCTACCTGAGATGTGGTTTCAGACACTTTCACTTATCCGAGGAGCACTGGTGGTACAGGGATTACGTGTTGGGCTAACCCTAAGGTCAGTTGTTCAAAACCACTAGCTGCTCCGAGGGAAAAAGACGAGGCTTTCTATTCCCCTAAAGAGTTAGGGTCTCAAAAACCCACGAGGGCATCTCCAACCCGTCCTATACGCTCCCTGTGAGTGGGAATGGGCTTGCTTCTACTCACCCATGCGTCCGTCTCGAGGTGGACTGATCAAGGAGATTCTCGTCGGGCCGGCTGCTGCATCAGGCTACGGGCGGGAGAGAAAACCACCGCTCAAACTCCCCAGTGGCTACGGGAGATGGAGGCTCTCCTCTCATGAAGAGCCCATTTCCTCGAGCCCCTCTTCCGGGTCTGTAGCTCCACTTGGCGGCCTTCTGCCTGCCTGGCTTGGTTGTGCCTTTCTGCCCCGAAAGGAAGGCACCGCCAGGTGTGTAATAAGTCCAGAGAGGCAAACGTAAGCCAAACAACACCCAAATCAATTTGGTCTGTCGGTCCATCACGTGTGCTCCCAATCCTCTCCCAGTGACCGGACGCTGCACACAGGAGACAGACAGGCCTGCCCTGCAGTCAGGTGCCTGAGTTGGTTCTAACCGAGAGGCTCTCAACAGAGGGAACCTGTGCCATCCCACCTCATGCTGTCCGCTCATCAGAGGGACAGGGAGGGGACACAGGCCTCATGCACACCTTTTCTGATCTGTTGTTAATGTGTGCTTTCATTAAGTTTGTTTCAGTTGTTGAGAATAAACATATACCATTCAGCAATTTCTACAAGTTCCATCCATTAAGTGACTTCCGTATTATTCTTCAAATCGTGCCCCCGTTCACACTTCCCTGTTCTGCGCTGTCCCTCCCTCATTCACAGGAATCCACAGCCTCTGAGGTTCCTGCCTGGAGCCTGGTGGGGTAGAGGTTATGCTTTGGGCTGCTAACCACAAGGCCAAAGGTTTGAAACTATGTGCCGCTCTGACGGAGAAATAGGTGCTTGTCTACTCCTGCAGAGAGCTAGTCTCAGAAACCCACAAGGACAGTTGGACCTTGTCCTGCATCGACTCCCTGGCAGGGAGAGAGGGCGGGCACGTCTAACCTTTGTAGTTGCTGCCCCCAATGTGACCACATGTCCCACTGGGACAGTTTAAGGGCAGTTCAGGGCTTCTCAGTGGTTTGGCAGTGAAGATGGGCTAACCCTCCCTTAATGAGTGAGAGCTCTTCGGGGTGGTACGTGGGCACAGACGGCACAGCAGAGCGGGGTACTTACTTTTCTCTGGAAGAAAGGAGTGGTGTCAACGTCCATGGCCCCTGCTCTGAAACGCACACACAGTACATAAGCACACCGTGAGCCGGGGTGTCACCGCCCTTAAACAGCATCCGTGTCAGCACCCTGTGACGTGCGGACGTGGGCAGTTCTAACCACAAACCACTGTGTAGGAGAGGGTGAGTTGGTCCGGCCCTAGAACTCTGTACAGGTGCCATGATTCGGCATGGTGTGTGCTTGCTCTAAATCAGAGGTCCTCAAACTTTTTAAATAGGAGGCCAGTTCACTGTCCCTCAGACCTGTTGGAGGGCCGGACTAGTTTTAAAAAAAACCCTATGAACATCCTCTCCCAGTGACCGGACGCTGCACACAGGAGACAGCACAGCACATATGTGCACACAGCACATATCTTATTTTGAAGTAAAAAAACAAATGGGGAAAAAACAGCCGGCGGGCAGGGTAAATGTCCTGGAGGGGGTGGGGGGCGGGGGTGGCCCTCGGGACGTAGTTTGAGGACGCCTGCTCTAAATCTTCTCATTTCAGAACTCCAGCATGTTCACTCTCCACCCAGATCGATTTCCCTTTCTACAGCTCTGCACTGGCTGCCCACTGCCTTCAAATTCCAATCCCCACATCCCTGCAGGGCTGGCCGAGCACCTGGCTCTGGCCCTCCTCAGCCCCTGGGCCTCGGGCCTGGGCCTCCCCTGCTGCTGTCCACGCTGCGCTCCCACTCGACTCCTCCTCCGTCGGCGGCCTGGCCCTCAGTGCTTCCCTACGACTGCCCAGGAGTGGGGACACAGCATTGGTTTTGCTTTCAGCTGACTCATCTTCCCACAATCTGCTGGGAGTGCCCAGTTCCTGGCGTGTTGTTGAGTGTCTAGACTCCGACCAACGCACACGTACCTTTCCAAGGTGGCCGCACGCGGCGGCGGGAAGAGCCGGTGTCCCTCGGGCTTTGCTGCAGGCGCTGTGGGAAAAGACCCGTGTCCTCGAGCTGCTGTGGGGCTGTCAGCAGAAGGCGTCTCTGCCCGCCCTGTACTTACTCGGCAGGGCGGTTCTGATGGGGCCCAGAGCGGCTGGTTGCGAGGCTCTCACCGGGCAGGGGTGAAGGAAGGGAGTGGGTGAAGCTGGACGGCTGGACCTTCCGTGGGTTCATTCCACCAGGAGGCCGGCGGCGGGGTGAGAGAAGCACATGCCGTCAGGCTCTGCAGTGGCCCCTGCTCAGGCGGCCCGCCCCTCCCTCCCCTGCAGGAAGGTGCAGTGGACACCAGAGACACAGAGCCACTGGCAGCGTGAAGCATGGGAGACCAGGCAACAGGCCCACCAAGGCACTGCACCAAACGGCTCTTGTTTCTAATGAGAAAGTTTAGAGTCATTCTTTAGGAGCTGAGGGAGGTTCAATGACTACGACAACAGTGCCCAGGAGCCAAAGGTCACAGGCAGTGGCTGGAGACCTCCCATACTGGCCTGCTGGGACGACTGGATGGTCTCCAACAACCTTCACAGTGGGGCTGGTCTCACCCAGGAGGCGGCATCTCCACGCTCTCTCCTGCCCCTGGGACCACCCGAGAGCCCACCCCCAGGGGAATAGCGGTTGGCTACTTCTACTTGCTTGGTCTTCTGGCCCCCTCTCCCCTTCAGCTGTCCTGCAGGGCTGCTGCTTGGAGAAGCTTCTGGCCTCTGCCGTTGCCCTTCTCTGGCCTCCCTCCACTGCCCTCTGCCCTGCTTGCCGGGAAGGGCACTGGGAGTGCTTGAGGCTGGCGGCAGGTCTAGTGGCGTCCACAGGGTGGATGAACAGGAGGCCAGGGGCCTGCTGCCAAGCAAACACTGCTCCCCTGCGCAGGGCAGGCCCTCACCTCTGCAGCTGCTCGATCCGCAGCACCGCCTTCTGCAGGGCCTCCTCCAGCTTGCAGATCTAAACACAAGCCCAGGAGCCGGAGGTCACCAGGCCAGGCCAGGCAGGGAAATGGCTTCGAGATGAAGCATTAGACACCCTCCCACTACTTACGAGTGCTTTCCTGTATGGTCAGCTCCTCCAGGGCCTATGACCCTGGCCTTCACCAGCACCCAGCTAACTGTCCCCGAGCTCCAGGAGTCCCGGGTCCATCTGCGTCCCCACAGCCTAGTGTGAGCACAAGCCCAGGGGACTTTTGCCCTGGCTAGGCTGCCCCAGCGTGACCCTCCGCCGAGTTGCCCAGAGGCGTGTGTCTAATATGCCAGCTCGTCCTCCTTGGTTGGCTGCGGGTCCTGGCCCTGCAGCTGTGGAGCTCGGAGGGAGACCGAGCACCAGGGAGGGAGGGGTGTTTGTCGGCAGTGACTGCTGTCTCCTGCAGCCCCCTGTGCAGCCCACCTCCTGGCTCCAAGGGCCCTGGGAGGGGCAGGTGGCTGTCACGGAATCACACAGGGGCGCGGGCCTATTCAAGGGTGTGGAGTTCTGATGGCTGGGCACAGGGGCGTGCAGACCGGACTCCCCAGTCTCCCTTGGCTTTCACAGGGAACACGATGAGTCACCACATTGCAGGGGGCAGACGAGTAAGTGGACTAGCCACTCCCTGGGGGCTGTCAGTCCTGGTGAGGCGGGAAGTCCTGGGGTGCCATGGGCCCACCCTCTGGCTTCTCCCACCCAGTCCCCCTGTGCTTCCCCATCATGTGGTGGGAGTGGAGGTCCTGTGCACGGCTGCTTCTCGTAGTCCCCACTAGAACTTTCTTTCCCTCCTTCTCAGAGGCGAGCGAGGAGCAGGGTCTGGAGAGCTCCGGGGAAGGTGCTGCTCCTGGCTTGCCAGAGCAGCGAGTGCAGTGTGCCCTCCAGTGACAGCCAGGGGCCAGGTGTTTGCAGGACAGGGACTGAGTCCCAGACTTCCTGAGGTGGCGAAACTGCCACCTCCTCCCCGGGGCTGGACCCAAACCCTCCAACTGGGCTGCAGCCCAGAAGCTGCAGGGGTAGATTGGGGTGGGGGGAAGGGATGCTCCCAGGCCAGAGCCCACCCCTCCCTGGAGTGCAGGGGAGAACAGCCTGCCACCACATGAGCAGAGCTGTGGAGGGTCACAGGCCCAGGACCCTGCTGGACCTACCCTTTCTCGGTAGAAGGCTAGCAGTCTCCTCCGGTGTTTCTCTTGGAATTCTGCAATCTGAGAGCA